TCCACCAACTTGTTGAGTAACGGCCGTTCCTTCATCTGCCTTCTATCTTATCCGCGAGGAGCATACAATGAACAGAGGAGCGAATTCCTCGGGGGGGTTCGACCGAACTTCTTACCAATCCACTTGTTGAAAAATCTACGTTCCTCGTTAAACTAACTTTCGCGCTGCTGACGATTTCGTTAAACTCCATTCGGCTCAGCTCAACTCAACTCACCGGCGTCATGTGGCGATTTTCAAGAGAAAGAGATTCAAATTTTACTCCAAACTGACTGACATCGAAGAAATCCCGGCGTTCCCGAAAGTTATTCCATTCTCGCGAAACTGCGTCCGATTTATTCTCAGGGATGAAATATCCCAGCCAACCAAAGTGACAGTTAAATAACATCAATTTAAATGTAATATAACGCGCACGTGTTATATTAATGTTATGCAACTGTTACTTTGGCGTTTGCTGGGATATTATTTTGTATAAAATTAATACAATATGCAAATATAACGCAAGCTGTTTCCGTGACACACGACCGTTTTAACGAAAGAGGAAAGAATCTCTCGACGGCTGTTGACATGAATTCCGTCAATGGAGACTTCGCGCGTACGGAGATTTGAATAAATGCCGGCGCGCTCATTTCTAAAAATAAGTTAAACTTTCCACGCCAACAAAATTAAAGAGTATAACTATAGAGAGGAAGATAAGCGCGCGGCTAACAACAATCACGATAAAATGCAGATAAAAAAAATATACAATATCGAGACAGTCGTCACCTGAAATTCTCGCCACCAGGTCTCGATCAAACTCCAAATTACGTCTGATCGTCGCGAACGCCGACACCCTCCCCCCCCCCCGCCGTGGCACACAGCTGCTATCGGTCTATTATCTTTGCAGTTGAGAGGAAAGAAATGTGCGACAAAGTTGTTTCGCTGCTTCAAAACAAAAATGACGTTGTGGCGCTCTTTCCACGACGCCTTTCAAGTCGCATTCTTGCCACGGAAATTCATGGCATTTCTTAAGTGAGCGAACACGTTCCGATACATTCAGATAATATGCTGTCGGCTTTGAAGCGTAGCCCTCCCCCCCCCCCCTCGCTGAATACGCGGCCGTTTACGACCGATGCACGGAATACCTGCGGTATTCGAGCGGAATCGCGCGCGAGATGTGTGCGCTCGCGAATAAATAAGGCGAATTAAACGAGCGGCGGCGTCTGGGCGAGCGCAAATACTTTCGCGCGTGATTAAACGCTCGCGGCATTATCGGAGTAACGGCGCGCGTTTTGCGCCAAATACCCCGGCCCGTCGCGCTACGGCACATCTCGTAAAGTATCCCGGGAATTTCGGGCTGTTTATCTCGACGAGATAATCGTGGAAATGACACGAGACACATTTTCGACGCGAGATAGCGGGACGCGTTTGCACCGAAAGAAAGAAAGAAAGAAAGAAGAAAAAAAAGAGTTAAAAGGCGCGCCTTTACATAACGCCACCTTTACATAATTTTACGGACGTGAAGTAGGATTTGTCGCGTGCAAGAAACGCAGCTGTCTTTGATGAACAAATCTCTTGCCTCGCGGAGGACGAAGTATTCTATGCGCGCGTGCGCGTGTGTGTGTGTGTACGTAACACGGTATGAGGAAACAAGAGAGTAACGAGCAATTTTTGTAAAAGACGCAATGTGTAAAGGAGGGTCCGGTGTTATGAGATAGCCGGGTTTCTGCTAAATTGATAGGCCTCGTCCGTCGGTTCCACCGTGAATTTACCGCTCGCCGGAGTGAAATCTGTTTACGAAGGAGAGTTTGCTTATTGTCACCAGTAACGATTAGAAATGAGACGGGAAACTAATAGTCAACCCAACTGGCTAATTATTTAATCAATTTATTACACAGCGTGTAATAAATCGATCCGCATTATTATAAGCCACATTTTTAGATTTGAAGCGGGACTCGCGAGGACAAAATTTTCATTTCCAGGCTCCATTATTGAGATACCGAATGCCGCGACGTGGACGAACGCAGATTACACTCTCGTAAACCCAAATTACGCGACTTTTCCGACTCATTAGCCTGGCACGTGTTTTCCGGTCATTCACAACGCCGAGCGTTGATAAACAAGCAATTAACGAGAGCCCGTCGTGCCTGAGGGTCCAGTCGATCGCGGAAACGCTCGAAAGCGAGAGAATCAGCTGGGGATGCACGTGTGCGGTTCAAACTGATCGCGGAGGGCGGCACCGAAGCGCGTCTTCTCGCTAGCTGCGCGTGCTCGCGTTATGAAAATTATTACGCCGCGGTCGCGGACGAGTAAGTAAGCCACGCTGCAGCGTGTGCTAACGGACGGGAGGAAAAAAAAAGAGGCGAGTACACAGGCAGACAGATAAAAAGTTTGGTACAGACGGGGTAACTTGATATACCCGGCGAAACGAATCGCTCGAAACCTGTCTCCGCGCGAAGAGACTCGTCCGCTGTTTCCGCCGGCCAGAAACTTTCCGCGACAACGCCTTGGGGTCGATTCTGCGTCTCGCGGTACAAGGCGATTTTTGGCGACCGTTTCGTACACGTGCCAGAGTGTACACTCAGCGTCACGAATGCCCTTACGCCCGAAGAAAGACGCTAGGAAAATATCCAACGGGAAAATTTGTTTTAACAAACCAAATTTAGAATAGTTGTATCGCCACACCCAAAAAAAAGTATTCTATTTTTGAGTGGTTTCCTCTTGATTTTAGAGGATTTCTTTATTTTCATAAGGAAATCCTCTAAAATCAAGAGGGAACCACTCAAAAATAAAATACTTTTCTTGGACCTTTTTTTCAGTGCAGTAATTAAAACCAAACATACTCAAGGATTAGATCGACCAAGGCTGGCAGTTTTATTTAAGTTTACATTTTACCACGACGCTTCGGCCAGTAATACTGGTCCTTATCAAGTGGATCCTATTGCTTGTGACCACGAAGCATAGGAAAATATCAAATTAGGCTAATCGTCATCGCGCATAGAAATGTACATCTTCTCACGTGTCGTGTCGCCAAGAGACTGGTCACAAGCAATAGGATCCACTTGATAAGGACCAGTATTACTGGCCGAAACGTCGTGGTAAAATGTAAACTTAAATAAAACTGCCAGCCTTGGTCGATCTAATCCGTGAGTATTTTTTATTTTAACAAGATCGGCTGTTCTATCGGAATATATTCAACTTGACGGCTATTTTCAGATGTAAAAGCATTCACGACGCCGAGTGTGCACTCTGGTACACTTTGGCGCATGTACGAAATAATCGGCAAAAATCGCCTACAGCGAAAGTGCCAGAAGTCAGCGCCTTTGTCCCTTTCTCTAACGAATAATTTTCCTGAGTAAAGTAATACGTTTTTGAATGAAGATATTGTTTATCAGTGCACTAATGTACAGTGGGCATTTATCTTATTCTCTTGTTTCATATTATTTATCCCGTTTTATCTTATTTTATCTTTACAATGCCCCAGCAAGGCCTAGTGCCCAAACTAACGGCCAAAAAATGCCCAGTAATTCCGAAAACAATCGAGTCTTGGTGACACAAGAAAATTTTAACACTTCAACACACCACTTTTTACTGTGTATATTTCCGGTCGTCTCAAGTACATGTCGAAAAGCTATTCGGCCAAAAAAATGACCTGTACAAATACTGTACGGATCATTTTACTGGCTAACAAGTATTTCAAAAAGTATATTCTTAAATACAAGCATTGCCTGTAAACACTTGGTGCGCCCTAGTGCGAGCTGCCGAATTCGCTGCAAGATACAGAACTGACCCCCTTGATTCGCGACCACTGAAAGAGCAATCTCATTCTTTCTCTCTCTCTCTGGCCTCTCATCGGCGTATTTCCATAATCGTTTCTGAAACCGCGCCGGGAAAGTGAACGCTCGCTCGTGCGAGCCCACAGGCCACGCGGGACGAGTTGATGAAATTAAATAACTGTTATCTCGCAGCGAGCGGACGTAAGTGAGGCGAATTAAATGAACGTACCGTGGAGAAAAAAAATCACTCTCATTGGCACACGGCGCGGGGGAAAATAACGCGTGTGCGAGTTTGGCCAAGACGAGCGTCGTGAAAAGGGACCGGACCGATCCGTCCGATAGCACCGGTACTACATTTTCCGGACGATCGTCCAATTGTGGGCCCGCGGGGTACCTAGGTGCTTCTGAAAAGCTGTTGCGCGCACCTACTGACGTTAATAACTGTAACTGCGTCTTCCAAGAACTCCAGGCAAATTACCCTCGTGGAAATGGCCGCCCCCAGATCTTCCGAACGTATCTGTAACACTGGCAATGGAATCGCGTCGGCCGACCGATTGTTTCAGACTCTTTTCTCTTTATCTTTCCGTATCCACGCAGCCAGTGTTCTTCTTGCGCGCTACGTTGACAAAAGCGGATGGGACTTGTACGGACGGCGTTCGTCTCGTTTCGTCCATTCAGCTGCAAAACAATCGTTACGCGATAATCACAATTTTCTCATTAACGTTCCACGGCGATTCTTAATTTCCGCGCCATAAAATTTAACAACGTCCCCGCTGGAAAAAGGCGCGCGTTTAGTGCCGCGAGATCGGGATGGGATTCGAGGCAGAAAAAAACTGAGAACAAAAAAATTCTCAGCGGCCGAGGCCTCGTCGGTGCGAAAATGAGTTTTCTTTGCGAGCAACGTGTGTCTCACATGGACGCACACGTGGTTGCCTGCGCCTCCAGTAGAATAACGAGAACTATACGCTTTTCTCAAGGAGACACGAAAGTCCTACGAAGTGATTCACTCCAAGCCTCTCTCGTTCTATCTCTCGCTCTCTCTTTCTTACATACACACAGCCCCACACACACACACACACACGCTCTTTCGGACGACCAGGTCGAATCATTTTCATCAGATTGGCCTGGCAACATCGCCCCCGAGCGCCGACGTTCGTTTCTGCGCCCATTCGCGGCGTGTTTCGCGCCGGGTGTGGGCGAGAACCGTCTCGCCGGGTACGGGCGTCTCGCTCGCTCGCTCTCGCTCACCTTTCGAAAAGCAAAGAGGTCCTTCTGCAGCTTCTGCCGCTCGGCCGTGGGCTGCTGGCCCTTCCCCCTGATGAACTTGAGCATCTCGTCTCGCCGTTAGCGCAGCTCTGTGTTGTCCTCTCTCTCTCTCTCTCTCTGTCTGTCTGTTGTTCTCCCTCCCTCTTTCTCACTCCGTTTCGCGTCCTTTCTTTCTCTCCGCCGCGCGGGCACCACGCGAGGGTAATCGCTCGTCGCACGTCACACGCAGGTACCGACACGCACGCTAACCGGCGCGTAATTAACGCATTCTTGAATGGATCGCGTCCGCGCGCGGTCACGACGCCGCGTTATTTACCGCCCGAACCACGGCTGCGTTCACGGTGGATGCGCGCGCGCGCCCGCGCACGTCAGTGTCCCTTGTCTCTTTCGGTATTATCCACCCGCGTCCGGCGGTCTCCTCGCCCCGCTCGCACGCCTCACTCTCTCTCTCTCCTTCCTTTTGCCGCGCGGCGCGCGGCGCTTGCGATACCCGACGGCGGGCCTCGTCGCGCTCGAGGGATCGGCGGCGATGTGTCAGCCGAGACTGGCGGCGTGTATCAGGGCCGCCTCGCCAATACGCGCCGGCCGACGCTCGCTCTCGATCACGACGTGGTCCGGATGCGACGGGGCGGCGCCCGGGTCCCGGCGAAAACGTGCCGCGGGTACGCGCAACGGGGAACGCACAACCATCCGAAACGCACGAGGGGGAGGGGGACACCACAGAGGTGTACGTGCGTGTGTGCGTGCGCGCGCGCGCGCGGTCACTCCACGTCGCTCGCAGTCGCGTCTCACTCGCGCCGTCGTGTCGGCGTCGACTTTCCCACCGGACTCTCCGACTCTCCGACTCTCCGCCGACAGCCGAGCTTCGAGCGCGTTCCCTCGGCCGCGCTCGGCTCGCCGCCTCGCCGGGCGCGCCCGAACGAACAATGACCTCGATCCGACGGCCGCCGCGCCGCCCCGGCGGCCATTACCAACCGAAGGAATCGTCGAGACCGCTCGTCTCGACCTCGCTCGCCTCGGTTTGTCGGATCCTCGCTCCTCGGCCCGCCGCGAGCCACGTCCCAGGGTACTATTGCATTCACTGTTACATTTGTACGGCAAAGTCTTTCGGCGCGTCGACTGGCTACGTGCTAGAACATTTCTGGATACCCGACAATTTTCCCGCGCGAAAACAGTCTGGTCGAAGCGACGTCGAAACGCTAAATTGTTTGAAACGCAAGACAAGGCACCGATATGTTAGTTAGAATATCGAAATGATTTGTATAGCAAAATTAATGCGTCGGAGAACGTTCGAGTCGCGCTCGGGATCGAGTCCCTCCCAGTCAGAAATTACTTGTCGATCGACGTCGAAACCGCCATATTGACGTCGATTCGACATCGTTTCGACGTCGATCGACGAGTAATTTCTGACTGGGCTCGCGAGGGCGACGCGTCGAAGATAAAAAGAACGAACGCGAATCTCCGAACGTCCGTTGCTCGCTCGTAGACGTATTGCCCAGCGTTCTGCGACGCCCACGACGACATCGATCCCACGCACGAGCGACGAGAGCGTCGCTCCTTATCCTCTCGACGCGCCTGGCACTTTCTTTTTCCTTTTGCCGCCGCTTCCGCGAACGCGTCGATACGTTTCGACAAGTCGCATCATCCTCACGACGTATTTCGCTACTTGCGTCGAACGCTCGCGCGAATTTGTACGCGCGGCTCGCCGAGGCGGTTCAAATATCGACTCCCGACTCTTTCCCCGCCGGTTTTTTTTCCCTCTTCTTCCTTCGACGACGAGGAAGCGACGCAAAGGCTCTCGACTTCTGTCTCGCGATTCTTTCGAAATATTACGAGGTTTCGGAACGAAATACGCGATCCGGTGCTCCAGATTTTTTTAACAGACGAAAATATGTGAACGGAGCGCGCGTCAATCTGTCTCGACATTCGTATCGACGTTCGCGCGGGTATCGATGCGGAGACGCGCGTGAAACGTATGCTCGTACCTGCATATATTCATTCCGAGCATGTAACAGGACGTCACGCGTTCGTGAGTCTCTGTGATTTCCTGCGAGACGTTTACGGTGCCCAAATTGTCCCCCCACCCTCTGTGATATCATCGTCGTGAAATAAATCGGTTAAAATAAAAAGAATACATGCGACAAATGTTCGTCTCAACCGCTGCAGATTAACTTTAATCTCGGTCTGAATTACTTTTTCTTTTCTAATTTTGTTAAACCAGGAAAAGATACAAAGCAAGCCGGGATTGAAGTTGCTCTGCGTCGGTAGAAACGAGCGAGAGTCGCGTATTTCAGAAGAACAGAAACCCGTTTCACAAACACAATATGAATTTTGAGTTTGACGCCACTCTGCCCCGAAGGGGGGGGGGGTCCTTTAAAGCAAGTTTTTATCCAGAAATTTCGTCTGAACATTATGACTTTGCGCTAGAACGAGGATCCTGGGCTAGTTTCGCAAACGTCGATTGACTGCTAACCTTGGGTCAGTTGATTCTCAGTCTCTTCTTAATAAGAGACATGGAGCTCTAAATAAATAATTGTAATAAATAATAAGATGGAACAAAATTAAGAACGTCGACTGAACTCTGGTTAAACAGTTAACCAGAGTTTGCGAAACTGGGCCCTAACTCGTTTCCAAGTAAAACGTCACACGTCCCCCTTCTGTTCTCACTGGTCCAGATTTTGCTGTCTCCGAACGGAAGGGACAGACTCTCGAGAAGTTGCAGGGAGATTTGTGACGACACGAGAAGACGTACCGAAGATAAATATATATTGCACTTTCTCGCGCGTACTATCTGCAGCTATAGGCTACTTTTATATACAGGTCGTAATTTCAGATCTGTTAATTTATACAAAAATATGTAGCATTTGTCTTATCCGTAGTAACATACATATGTAACATCGCTGCTATATAATAAATTAATCGTTACGTATAATACAAAATTATACAAATATATCACGTGTTTCGTAAAAAAAAAGGACGCCTGGCGGGACGTCACGAGCGACGTAAGGGTCGAAAAAAAGGCCGTGTGCAGCTCAATATAAAGTACGAATCCTTTCTTAATATCGACATTACGCACTTTAAACATTTCCCTTGGTGCTGTTCGTATTGAATCTCTTGATTTCATTGGACGCTCGACAAACGTAAATAAGAAGCGACGAATATCCTGAGGATCTTGTTGAGGTTCTCCGTAGTCTTCAGGTCGATGTTGTGTCGATTGTCGCCAGATTTGTGCCAAAAGGCCGGAAACGGACTCGGTATTATATGCAAAATGGGCACGTCTGAAAAAATAGGGAGACGCGGGTTGTTTTTTTTTAGTACTTGGGTCGACGAGTCATTTCTCAGTGGGTATAGGAATACGTTGTGAAACGATCGTCGCGAATAAATCACGAGTACTTACCTTTCCTCAGGAAAGGGATATGATCGTCTTCGATGTGCGCCTCGAACGAGTACGGTTGAAAATATCTCTGTTCCGGTCTGCCGTACGAATACGATTCCAATTTTCTCATTTGAACCAGTTTCTTTTCGATGCTGACCAGCAAGGAGTACCATTTCTCCGTGTTTTTAAAATAATTGTAAAAAGTCGGGTCAGGGGCGCCCAGCAAGTCGAGGAGGACCAATATGTCCTGTTAAGTAAAGGACACATAAATATTCAATCGTACGATTTCAATAACGTATAAATTGGAAACACTTGTATGACATTTCTAAAGGCCTGTGTCCACGATGTTAGTGATCCACGCTTTTATGGAATAGCTGCAAGGTAATTGGCTACACATTTCTTGAAAGTATAACTCGGACCAAGTTCTAGCATCGTGAACGCAGGCCTTCAAGCTCGTGTCCACGATCCAAGAACTATGTCCAAGTTTTAGTTCCGAGAAATATGCAGCCATTGAACTTGCATCTTTTACGAGAAAGCTGCAATTTAATTAGCCACACATCTCTCGGAACTAGAAGTTGGACACAGTTCTTGAATCGTGGACACAAGGCTTAATGATATGTCTGTACTGATAACGTAAACTCGGTGCACACCATTCTATCTAATTCGGAGAAATGCATTCCTTCGCCGTAAGCAGTCTTTTTATTGTGCCATTCTTTAGCCAAGTGTTTGGCACCGTAAATCGAATCGTTCGGGCCCCATTCCTCGAACGCTTCTTCCCCGTCGAAGAAAATAAACATCAGGCTGACATCCTCCTGAAAAATATGGATGTAAGCACAGATTTTCCCAAGGCTTCATGCGCACAATGTTCTCGCGTGACTCACTTGTCTAGTTAGATATTTGCTCATGACAGTCGCCAAATTAATTAGTTGAGCGCATGGCACTGCACTGTCTGTGGCGCCAACGAAATCCCTCTCTCGCGTGTATTTCGAATCGAAGTGACAAGCCAGCGCCAGATACCTTTTCGCGTTAGGATTTAACTTTGCTATTATGTTTTCGAACTCCAGTTCGCCAAATACAGGCGTGTCGGCGCGAAACACGTCCGACTCGACTGTCCAGCCCAGACCTTTCATTGACCTCTTGATATACTGAAAAAGAAGCATACATTTTTGCTGACCAAACGTTACGACACTACGACATCGGAACGTCATATTTGTATAGACATTTATCGTAATGTTATTTCCACATACAATTTCCTATAATCATTTGCTGAAAGCTGCATCATATTATAAATTCAATTTTTATTTTAACTTCCATTCACGATAGGATTCAAATATGCGAATTCACGAGCAAAATATGACTAGTAAAATTTAGTTGTCAACATCAAATCTTTCGGCTTGCGTATCTGCTTTAAAATATTCCGAGATGAGAATTTTACAAAGTATTTCGTTTCGAGGAAAGCTCAGAGGAGTTAACGAGCCTTTATTTCCGCGGAGATCGGAAATTCTCGCGCGTGCAGCTTACTCTCTCTCTCCCTCTGCGTCCACGTCTTACCTCCTTTACCCTCGCGTGCTCGGCGGTCCCCACGATCCTCGTCACGCATATGTTATCCAAGACCTCGTTCATGTGAGTGACGTTCGTAAGACCGGACAACGTGGCGACCTGTTCGTTTGTCAGCGAGCCGGGCACGTGATAGTACTAGAAATCACGTAATAACAATACACTCGTGAAAAGTGGCGTCAGCTGGCGATGGAGCGTGGCAATGAACTGAAGAAAAAAGAAGGAGAGAGGGGGGAGGGGGGGG